ACAAGAACGGTGAGCAAAAATCCCAGAACCACACAGGGGGACCTAGTGAATGACCTGCAGAGAGCTGGGACCAAAGTAACAAAGCCTACCATCAGTAACACACTATGCCGCCAGGGACTCAAATCCTGCAGTGCCAGACGTGTCCCCTTGCTTAAGCCAGTACATGTCCAGGCCCGTCTGAAGTTTGCTAGAGTGCATTTGGATGATCCAGAAGAGGATTGGGAGAATGTCATATGGTCAGATGAAACCAAAATATAACTTTTTGGTAAAAACTCAACTCGTCATGTTTGGAGGACAAAGAATGCTGAGTTGCATCCAAAGAACACCATACCTACTGTGAAGCATGGGGGTGGAAACATCATGCTTTGGGGCTGTTTTTCTGCAAAGGGACCAGGACGACTGATCCGTGTAAAGGAAAGAATGAATGGGGCCATGTATCGTGAGATTTTGAGTGAAAACCTCCTTCCATCAGCAAGGGCATTGAAGATGAAACGTGGCTGGGTCTTTCAGCATGACAATGATCCCAAACACACTGGTTTTTTTCTTCTCATTTTGTCTGTCATAGTTGACGTGTACCTATGATGAAAATTACAGGCCTCTCTCATCTTTTTAAGTGGGAGAACATGCACAATTGGTGGCTGACTAAATACTTTTTTTCCCCACTGTAACTGTTCTTCGGGAGCTTCATGAAATAGGTTTCCATGGCCGAGCAGCCGCACACAAGCCTAAGATCACCATGCATAATGCCAAGCGTCGGCTGGAGTGGTGTAAAGCTCGCCGCCATTGGACTCTGGAACAGTGGAAACACGTTCTCTGGAGTGATGAATCACGCTTCACCATCTGGCAGTCCGACGGACGAATCTGGGTTTGTGGACGTCAGGAGAACGCTACCTTCCCCAATGCATATCGCCAACTGTAATGTTTGGTGGAGGAGGAATAATGGTCTGGGACTGCTTTTCATGGTTCGGGCTAGGCCCCTTAGTTCCAGTGAAGAGAAATCTTAACGCTACAGCATACAATTACATTTTTGCTTCCAACTTTGTGGCAACAGTCGGGGAAGGCCCTTTCCTGTTTCAGCATGACAATGCCCCCGTGCACAAAGCGAGGTCCATACAGAAATTGTTTGTCGAGATCATTGTGGAAGAACTTGACTGGCCTGCAGAGAACCCTGACCTCAATCCTATCGAAAACCTTTGGGATGAATTGGAATGCCGACTGCGAGCCAGGCCTAATCGTCCAACATCAGTGCCCGACCTCACTAATGCTCTTGTGGCTGAATTGAAGCAAGTCCCCGCAGCAATGTTTCAACATCTAGTGGAAAGCCTTCCCAGAAGATTGGAGGCTGTTATAGCAGCAAAGGGGGGACCAACTCCATATTAATGTCCATGATTTTGGAATGAGATGTTAGACGAGCAGGTGTCCACCTACTTTTAAGCGTATATTAGTGTTTTTTTGTTTAGTTTTTTAGTTTTACAAACGTTAGAATATTTCTTCCACTTTGACATTATGTGTAGATCGTTGACATAAACTGACAATGATATACACTTTAATCCCACTTTGTAACATAACAAAATGTGGAAAAAATAAAAGGGTTCGAATACATTCTGAAGGCGCTATAGAACAAGGCAACATACACTGTAAACATCTTTGGTACAACTTCACCTGTCCCAGAACTAGCATGACATTCTATTCTATTTCTATAGTCTAATCTAAGGATTTGTCTTGTCTAACCACACACTGACATGCACAGCTCTCTGGGTGACGTTCTGTCTTCCAAGTCTCCAGTGGGTGATGAAGTCCCTTCCATCTATATAATGTATTACATGTTATAGACAGGTGCAGTCAGGTGACAGGAGGAATGGAGTGCGTGACACTCCAGTTTGCCTCAACCCGTGGGTCCAGCAGGCAGAGTTCAATAAATCTAGGCAGGTGGTATTCTTCTCACACTACTCTGTAGCTACGGACCCCCAGGAGGAAGCTTTGAATCGGTCAGTAGCCTACAGGGTCATTTGAGAAGAGTGCAATTGCTGATCTGATGTAATTATTCTAAACAAAGTGCTTTGATAACTTTCAAGTGAACCAGTTCCATGTAGAATAAACCATCCCTTCACATAATAATGTAGAAGCTGTGTTCTGATAATATAACAATGTGCAAATATTACACTGTCTTTCATCTGCTGTTGTCATTCACAGCTGATACAGCCCCCCCCCCCCCACACACACACACACCATTGAATTCCATAATAACAAAAGACAATGAAAAGTAATAGATGTGTCTTGTATCATTCTAATGTTGAGTGCAAGGTCTCTCCTGGTTCAGACTGCTGTATCAACCTGTCTGTTAGTCAGGGGACTCCATGACCAACTATCTCTCCTGTCCTCCATCTGTCGAAAAACAAGGTAGAGTTGATACACACAGCACTGATTACATCAATGGCTGTTAGGGGAATTCCAGGACAGACAAGTGATAGTATTTTGACCAACCTGAAGTGGGCCTGGTGCCTGGCCATGTACTGCCTCAGCCTTCTGCTCCTGATATGGGCGAGGGGTTCCCACGACACTGCTGAACAACAAATCCACCAGGTTTTATAAGTAGCCTGTGAATGAAATAAAATATAATCACTCAATAAACATGTAGTGAATTTTTTTTATTTTCTGTTGTTTTGGAAGTAATTATACTAATAGAGTGACTAAGTACAGAATAGATTCAGGCCAGTGATGCTGACACTATGCAACCAGCTGTGTAACGTTACGTTGCTGAAATCAGTGTTGCCAACTTAGCGACTTTGTCGCTATATTTAGCGAGTATTCAGACCCCTCTAGCGACACATTTTCAAAAAAGCGACTAGCGACAAATCTAGCGACTTTTTCTGGTGTTATTGGAGATTTTTGGAGACTCTGACGTGAAAGCACGTATCGTGAAAGCACGTATCGTTCTTACTCTTCTCAACGAGCAGCGGGTGCTCCGGTCAGGCCCCACCCCCGTCCCAAAGCGCAGTCCCTCCCAGCTGCAGTCAGAGCAGGAGATGTTCACCCCTCCGCGTCCAGACTGCAAATGAATCACGAATGCGGGAAGCCCCCCGCTGGCTGATCTCGCCCTGGCTTACATTCAAGGTGGGATATAAATGTAAAATGTTCTTTGTCTAAAATAAATCACTGCACAAAAATAACTCACTGCATTTGACTCCCACAGCCTCAGTCACTTACTCACCTCGTCCACTGTGTGTGTGCCTCTCTGTGACATAAGCTAAACATCTAGCTGGCTAGCTCATCATGTCTCAGTCTAAACTGTACACCTCAAAAATACAGAAAGGAGTGGGAATCAAACCCTGAATTCAAAGGCTGGTTGAAGCCGTTTATTGGAGATGATACATGGGTATACTGCCTGTATTGTAAGGCTGATTTCTACGCCAAACTTAGTGATGTAAAAAAAAAAAACACATGACAACTCAAAAACATACTCAAATGGTAAAGCCTTATAACAGTTCCACCCAAAACAAGATGTCATTTATGGTTAAAAAAGAATTGACTCTGCAAAAAGGGCTGAGGCCACCGTGGCATTAGCTATCGCTGAACACTGTTCCATGCTGGCATGTGATCACATTGGAGAAGCATGTAGACCTGCTTTCTCAGACTCCACTGCTGCTACTGTCGTAGTAAAAATAATTTGTTATAGATTGGTCTGACTAAAATGTTCTGTAAGACCCATTTGGAGCCTGTTTTCAATAAATGCTGTGCCAGGTCAGAGAGCAAAAGGTCAGAGAACAAAAGGACAGAGAAAACCTCATCTTATCACCAAATGGCCTAGGAATGTGATAATAGACAACACCCCCACCTCCGGCCATAAACAACAGATACTCCTCAGGAGTTCCCTGGACACACACAGACATCTCAATGTGGACGCACACTCATTCTCAACCCCCCCCTCTACTGGTCGGGTGCCAAGGGCAGAGGACTCTGCCGTGCACCAATGGGGTATCTGCTCTGGACAGAGCAGACCCGCCTCCTACGCCTCGGGAACCAATCAAGGGACTAGAAGAAGGACCCCTTCCTCTATGTTACATTGTATAAAGTAATGCTGTAACTCTTTTTTATGATCCCTTCTCAACTGTCTCCATAAGAGGCAATGGAAAATGGGTCCATGCATGATTCTTGAGCAGTACCAGCTATCTCTGTTTTAATAAACTGCCTTTTGCTTAAGCAATTTCCTCTCTGTCTAGCGTCGATGGTTTTGTACTTCCTCTCCAAATTATGGTTTCACCAACAAAATGGTAGCAGAGGATGGTTTAATTCGATCTAAAGAGTTGGTGCGAGAGGAAAAGGCAAATCATCGATCTAAAAACAGACGGAAGAGTGACCTATAATCCAGGAGACATCAACTATTCGTCTTGCCTCAGGAAACTGATCAGAGCGCTCTTCTAAAAAGGTAGGCAGAGCCTGTTAAAACGAAATCTTGCATATTGTATTATAGACCAATACCAAATTATGATCAGTAGTACTGAGCGTGAGTATGAATACTTGTTAAATAATTTCCATCCTAAATGAATTAAGGCATACATGAGATATCTCGTACTGTGATTTATATTAATTAATCTATGTGGAATTTAAATCTATGTGAAGGCATAGTGGAATCATAGTATAGATCTATGTGGAATTTGCTGTGTTTTATATTTTAACGTGTCTGTGTTATATCTTAAACGTGTAATGGATGATGGGAAGTTATAGTGAGACTTATGAAACTGAATACCAAACTGTGGAATTGAGTGAATTTGACTTAGGCTTTCAGGAACCAGGGATTGGGGGGACTGATATTGGATCTGTGCATATTCTTGAACAAGAACTGAGACAATTGAAGCGTATTGTGTGCAGTGGTTTAATTTCTGCATTGGTATATGTGACTGGAAATCTGATTTTTATGATAATGATTGCATTACAAATTATATAAATTAACCCTTTATATACCAGGGACGGGATAAGTGTATAAAGATAGAGAAAGCAAGATGGCAGGGCCAAACACAACTAAACCCAAATTTAATGAATACCTAGAACAACGAATGACAGAGAGAGCAGGGGGAAAAGAACAGTATAAGAAAGTTAAAAAAGTATGGGAGGAAGTGAAGTTAAGATGGACACAGGAAGGTTACCTCAGAGGGGGACCTCCCTCGGAGGAAGAACTCAAGATTATGGAGAAAGGTCTAGAAGTGGCAGTTGAGAAAGCCAAGGGGGAGGAAGAAGGAAAGAACAAGGAACATAAGTTTAAGAATAAGGGAACTAAGGAAAGAGAGAGGGCTGAGGAAGAGCTGAGAATAGGGACATGGGCATTAGAGGAGAGCAGGAGGGTGCAACCAAAGAAATCAGATACGATGTGTGTGGCCACTGCAGATCCAGTAGAGATGATAACACCATTCAAGGGTTCTCCAACAACTCCCCCAGAGGCCAGCACCAGCACCACTCCTGGCCCCACCTCACTATACCCACAGGTGCCGGTGGAGGCACCTCGGCCCCCACCATACACACCAGGACAGGATCACAACATTCAGACACACCACCAAACCAATCCATTTCTCTCCATGCCTCAGCCTGCAATACAGGCCCCTGTTCTAACAGTAGGAGAAGGAAGCCTGAAAGGCACCATGACTTTTGGCATAACTGGAGGGCAGTTGCTGTATGAACAGATGCCCTCTACCAGCACTCCATATCAACCCAAAGAACGGGAAACCCTGAGACGGGAAGAAGGGGGAGACCCGACCTCTCCTGGAGGTCGCTCCCTGCTCTCTTTTAACAACCCTGTGAGCGGAGTGAATAGTGGGTGTCACCAACAACTGAACCCAGAATTTTTCAGACAACATTCTTCACAGGACCTTAGAGGGGGAAGGCGTGGCCAATTGAGCAATCAAAGCAGGGATATGGAGGATGATGAAGACAGAAGAGCTTACATTAGCGGACTGGATAAAAACAGAAGGATACCCACTGAAGATGAAATAGAAAGTGAAATTCAAAAATTGGAAATCCAATTAGGAAGATCCCGAGCTGAAGTTGAGGTGCTCCTTGCTCCAGGTGAGAACGAAGGGGCCGAGTACCTAGTGGAGGGAATAATGAGAGGAACAGTGACAGACGTGACAGATACCTTGAGAGATATCACAACACATGAGCAACATCGGAGGTCAGCCAGAGTGGCAGAGAGGAACAGGACAGGAGGACCCCAAAGAACAGACTGGGAAACCGAAAGGTCAAGAATGTGCCCTCTCAGGCCTGCAGCAAATCCGGCCTATGTGGAGTATGAACCATGGAAGATGACTGATTTGACTACACTAATGGAACAAATGCCCAGTCTGCATGGAGGAGCGTCTTCCTGGTTGAACAAACTACAGACCCTCACATCAGGTCTGAACCTATGTCTAGGTGACATGAGGGCATTAGTTGCAAGAGCAACTAATCATGGAACAATGACCGGCATCATGACAGCTGCAAACCTAGATGGAAGGGCAGCTACCCTGCCTCTAGATCATTTCAGGACAAATCTATGGGATGCGTTGCGAAGGGCCTACCCCACAGAAAGAAACCAGGCTTTGCTTTCCTCCTTCACCATCAACCCAGGAGAGCATCCAGCTGAGTATCTAGACAGAGCCAAAACTACCTGGAGGACAGTAAATGAAGAACCATTTGATCACACTGATACAACCCTCAACATGTGGAAGGAGATGGTGATCAATGGATGCCCAGGGGATGTGAAGACCAAGCTACGTGCAACAGTGGGTTTAACAACCCTTCCCTTGACGCAATTCAACGCACATGTGCACCACCATGTTACTCAACACAACAAGGATAAAGGGGGGGCTGAGAGTCAGGTCCAATCTCTCCAAGTACAACTACTGAAACTCCAACTAAAGGAGGCCCAAAAAGGAGAAAAACCAAAGAAACAAATGCTGGCAGAAGAAACGCCTGGTGAAAATGGAACACCTGATCTCTTTCAAGTTGTAACAACCCTAGCTCAGACTGTCTCTCAGATGATCCAACTACAAGCCTCCCCTCCCCAGGGAACACCTGCCCCATATCAACCCCAACCACCATTTCCCCCACAACATTACGTCCCACAACCACAACCCTGGCCTCAACAAGGCACCCCATTAGGTCCTCCAAGAGGAGGGAACTACCTGTGTTACAATTGTGGAGGAGCTGGACATTTTAGGCGTGATTGTAAGGAACACCCACAAACTAACCATCAACCCCAATGGAGGGGAAGAGGAAGTGGAAGGGGAGGACCCCCATACCCATCACAAGCACCACCCACTCACCATCAAGGCCAGGTGCAGCAAGCACCGACGTTTTCACCTCCCCAATACCAAGCTGCAGGGTTCCAAGGTATGGCGGGGGAACCCATGTTCTGGCCATGAAGGTGCCCACCACCTACGACAGAAAGAGGGGGCGGCAGAGGACAGGACAAAACTCTGGAGGTGCCGTGATGGAAGATTAGTAGCACTAGCTAGACTCTGCCTAGAACTCTGTTGAGTGAGGCCCACGGGCCCACACATGAGGGGAAGTTTAAAACCCTCCAAAAGGTTTCACACATCTGGTGGCACCCTCACATGACAGAAACTGTAGACAGGTTTTCAAAATGGGTAGAGGCAATTCCTACAGAAAACTACAGAATTAGAGGATGATAGGTCAGTCATTAAGTGGCTACAAACTAAGTTAATACCCAGATATGGTATACCAAGGCAGATAAGATCTGACAACCACACATTTTAGCAACAAACACCTGGAAAAGGTGGAGGTAAGATTCGGAATCATGCACAGATTCGGTTCAGTAACATCCACAGTCCCAACCAAACATTTAAAGCTAAAATAACAAAGGTTTGTGCAGGAACAAAATTAACATAGGTCCACCAAGGGAGGGAGGTCATATGCCCTCCCTTGATGTACAACAGATAGAAATGACTGATTATGTGATGAAATTGACGGAATTTTCTGCAGCACTCTCTTCTCAGGTGCGGAAGGCCCAAGAGGGGGAGCTGTCGGGAAGTACGCTGCCACTGAAGGTAAAAGTGGGAGACTGGGTGAGGGTAAAAGTCCACAAGAGAAAGTGGCTGGAACCCAGGTGGACTGGACCGTACGAAGTGAAGGAGGTTACTTCACACTCAGTCCAGGTCAGAGGTAAATCAGGCGCACCCTGGCACCATCTAACACATTGCACACCAGCCCCCACTCCTTCTAGATCACTGACAGAAGTCAGGGCTGATTTAAGCAGCAAAACCACAATTTGATACCAAACATGTATATTCCCTTATGGAACAACGAACCTCGACCAGGTAGAAGGAGGAATCTTTCCCCCTGGGCAAGGTTAGGTATCTCTGATTGTTTGTTCATATGTCTTCTGCTAGGGACAGGGTTAATACTCGGTACCCTATTATGGCTTTTGGATAAACAAAACACGCAGACTCCCCTTGATACTTTAACCTCCAAAAACACCTCAATCACCAACACCTCGGTGCAGTCACGTGTTAGACGTGCTGCAACCGATACAACATGTACTCCCAAGCAGGCTAATAGCATTGTTTTTTGTGTACCCTTAAACACCACCACTACTATTTCATTAAAATGGGAAACACTGCAGGAAGTGCATGGTGGTAGCTACAGTAGGTATGATTGGTATATGACTAGAGGGGGTTGGAATGAGTGGTCATGGAAAAATCTAGTAGCTGAAACCAGAGTTAATTGGGCTAGCTATTCAAAAGGGGAACAAATTCTTAGATGGAGGAAGAAGATAACCCTCACAAAGAATGTGAACAGGGGTCTTACCATTATCATTCGAGCAGGAGCAGAGGAAAATTGTCAGGATTTTATACTAGCACCATATATGGGTTCTGGCTCTAGACAAGCACGTTGGAAAATAAATGTATGTACCAAACAGCTGTACAAGCCGTCTGCTGTAGTGGTGGGGAACGATAAAAGCAAACCTAAAAATGTCACAGCAGGATTAGGGGTGGGAGGACAAGTTGTTATGTCTACTACTCCCCGCACCCCTGATGATGATTTTTTCACTGCTACAGGTATTTCTGGATATTCTAACAATTGGCTACTACTAACTGAGCAAGCAGCAAACATCACACGTAAAAGCTGTGTTGTCTGTATGGGAGCTAGACCCTTATTGCGAATTGTTCCGGCTGTAATTCTCAATGACTGTATATTACCCCTTATGAAAAACGATAATCCTACATCAAACTGTACCGAGTGGGATAAAATGTATCCTTTAGTGTCTAAAACCGATAAAAACCCTATTTTCTCCTCTACCGTAGCTAAGGCTAACTTCACCTGTATTAATATGACAGGTGTGGGGATGACACTGGGAGATCTGCCTGAAAAATGGTGTGGTACTACCCTTCCTGGAAATGGAAGACTTAGATCAGTCTCCCGTGCAGATGTCTGGTGGTGGTGTGGGGGAACGACCCTATTTGATAGACTTCCCACCGACTCAACTGGGACCTGTGCCCTTATAAATCTCTTGTTACCAATTTCAGTTTACCCCATAGGTGTTCACGATTTGATCACTCGTATAAATGACCAAGGCCCTAGAGAAAAGCCCAGCCGGACAAAACGCGCGGAAGGGTTCCCAACCAGAGATTCAACATACATAGATGCGATTGGGGTGCCCAGGGGAGTACCAGACGAGTACAAATTAGTAGACCAGGTATCAGCTGGATTTGAATCCTCTTTTTGTTGGTGGTGTACCATTAATAAAAACGTCGATAGAATTAACTACATACATTTCAATGTCCAAAAGTTAGGTAACTGGACCCAACGAGGTTTTGAGGCAGTCCATGGACAGTTAGCTGCCACTTCTCTCATGGCTTTTCAGAACAGAATTGCTGTAGACATGCTATTGGCTGAACGAGGGGGAGTGTGTGACATGTTCGGGGAACAGTGTTGTACTTTTATTCCTAATAATACTGCTGCAGATGGAAGTTTGACAATTGCTCTAGAAGGTTTGAGGACTCTTAATGGTAAAATGAAAGATCATTCTGGGGTTGATACCTCTATGTGGGATTCCTGGATGGATGTTTTTGGTAAATATAAAACCCTTATTTCATCTGTATTAATTTATATTGCTGTTTTTGTATCAATTCTTACATTGTGTGGATGTTGTTGTATTCCCTGTGCCCGCACACTAATTAACCGTATAATAACTACTGCTATTGCACCAATTCAAAATGACCAAGCCCAGATGTATCTGCTTTTGGGAACTAATGATTTGGAACTGGACAATTTTGAAAGTGACTATCCTCCCTTATATAATATTAAAGGTGGATGGGCCTGTCATGATTACAAACCTGAACAGCGACAATTGGAGGTTAGCGATTTCGAAGACCAACTCTGATTGTTGTGTTCACTCACTAGAGGGGGACTAACATTGTTTAATTAACTGGCCATATAATTAGTATGCTAGAGGGGGATGGTTGAACTTTTTTACAATTGCATTATGCGTTATCATGTGTTGTTTTTATCGTATCTGAAGATTATGCCTTTGTTAAATGTTTTTCATGACGAAATGGAATGTTGGTTATGTTAGTATAATGTAACATATAATAGACAGGAAGTGTATTGTAAACTGGCCAGAAGAGGGAGCCCATCTTGTTGCATTGGTTATAAATAGGGGTACACGAAGAAGATAGGACAGAGCAGACATTAAAATGGGAGGACACTGCTCTCCGGACCACGCGTGTCTGTAAACTCATGCTGAAGCTTGTGGTCTGAATAAACCTTATGATCAATGTTCAGTATGAGCAGACTTCTTTTGTTGACAGCAATAATTGCCACCATTCATCATATACGACAGAATGGCGAGCTTGCCAGGAGGGATGATGCAATCCTTCTTTGCTGCATTTGGAGTCGTCAAGCTAACTCAAGCTGACTTTGATTTGGAGTCATGACCCGACTAAACACAGCTAAGTTGTTGGTTTGTTACTGCTTATGTACACTGGAGGAATGTACCCTTATGACCGTGTTTCGGGTGGCGTTATGGCTGTTAACTGGGAGTCTGAACGAAAATATTTTAAATTTGGTTGATGTGTAAACGCTGTTTACAACAATGGATTGTACAAATGGATTGGTAGAGAATAATGTTGGGAAGATATCTGCATAGTTAGGGCACCGTGAATACGGAAAAGACCTCGAAAGGGGCGACTCGTAATAATTATTATTATTATTATTGAGTGGGCTACAAATCCTGGACTTAGTTAGGTTGGGTCAGGTTGATTCCTTAAGCGGGAATTATGAAGTGAATGGTTGTATTTATGTTATACTCCTCCTCTGGCCGACGGGAAATTGGTTGGGGGTAACCGCTTGATATGAGATTCATCTTTCAAGGCAACAAAAAGTTAGACGGGGAGATAATTGTGATGATGATGATTTGGCCACGGTGCGGGGTGTTCATTTGTATAGCTAGTAGGCCGCAGTTAGCTAGAGGCTAAAGCTCATTCTTGATTGTTTCAGGCCACGTGGTACATCGTGGCTAAATGCTGATGTTAATGCTTAAGGCTAACGGCTAATTGTGTTTTGTGCCACGGGGTACCTTAGGCTAAGCTAAAGGCTAATGCTACAGGCTAATTGTGTTGCGTGCTACATGCTAACGGATATCCTTAGAGATTCCATTGCGATGGATTAAAGTCTCTTAAACTTGTCACTGTCTGTAAGTCAGGTTGTATGTTTTGTGAGCGCTGTTAAATGTTGTTTGACTATAAGGGGGAAATGGGAAGTTACAGCTGGCTGTTATTCTTTCTGTTTGGGGAGAGAGAGTAGAGAATCATTCTTTTACGGGGAAAAGGTATTTTCGAATGGTTGTGCGCATGCGTTTAATTTTGCGACACTACACTACAGAAAGGGGAGTTTATGACACGAGATTGGGACACGTTTTGGTTTACGGCACTAAATCTACGACATGCGGTCGACGAAACAAAATGGTGGCGTAAGGTCATATGTTTGTTTGGGGTTTCCTCTTCAGGGGTTTAATGGCTACCGGAAATTAAAGGTGAACACGACTCTGTTAAAATCGTTAAAGTAACTGTTATGTGAACGTTAAACTATTTGGCGAGATGTAGTACATTTATAGATCAAATATATGTTGACGGAGTATAATTAATTAAAATAAGACGATTAAAATTAAATGAAATGGTTTGGAGCGATCTATTTAGTAAATGTATGGGGATGCGTTTAATTTTAAAATGATATTTGCGCATGCGTGGGATTCTGCAAAACAACACATTGGTTAAACTGCAGGGGGAGACAGAGGAACACAGACGACGGAACAAATAGGCACAGGGAGAGTTTAACACGAATCTTATAAGTTTAAACTGCGATTGGTTAAA